CCCTGATTGCCGGAGCCAAGATGCTGACCTGGCTCCGTGGGAGGGAGGGAAGGCGGAGGCGCGTGGCTCGGCAGAGCCTGGAATAGCAGAGCAGCTGTTGAGTTATCGCTTGTAATTATTACGGCATATGGGAGGTAAAGAATAGCTCCAAAGGGGAGAAAAACAAACAAGGAAAAGGCGGGACGCTGCAGGGCTGAGCTGGGGTCACGGGGCTCTTTTCTCCATCAGATCCAACGGGAATTGGGGTGGGAGGGGTGGCACAGTGCAGGTGAACATCGTGTTCATTTCAAATATTTAATTCAGAAGTTAAATTTAAAGCCTATGAAGTACCAGTTGCTGGAGGCTGGGTGAACATTTAGGGCAAGTTTTGATGGCTGCTCATCCTGCGCAACAGGTACGTATCAGCAGAGATAGCGAGATAAGGAGACGTTATTCATCCTGGCTCACTGTTTCCTGAGCACCTGCTGATGGCTGTAACTGGACACGACACAGGCCTAGGGGTTGGGGTTATGATGGCAGGGTTAGGGTGACAGGGTTGTTGTTAGGGTCTGCTCTGCAGGGAGCCAACATAGCGAGCACAGAGCCAGCTCCTGCTCTCCCTGCCCAAAGCAGAATCTGCTCAAAGCAGGCAGTCAACACGAGGCTCCTGTAAGCCTTCTTCAGCCATCTGAGTGTGCTAATTGCTCACCCAGTGACTGTTTCCCTTCCCAGCTTCTGTCCTTAAGAGCAGCAGTGCAGCCAGCATGAAGTCTGCCCCAGCCAGCAGCAAGGTACTGCTTGCAGCAGGATGCGGGGTGATGGGAGCGGGACCCAACGCTGCTTGCGCCCATCATGACAGTGGCAGCCCTGTGATTTCTTTTAATGCTAGTTAGATCAGGACATTCTGGGTCTCTTACTCCAAATCAACCTGATCCTCACCCTGTGAATCACCCTGCAAATGAGGCACTGGAAATCCGAAAGACCATTCAAGCTCTGTGAACCAGAACATGAATAAATTCTATATGACAGGGAACAGCCCCAGTGCCCATTAAAAGCAACCAAGCAAATCCCACCGGCATCCTGGGATCTCTGCCGAGACATGTGCAGGGCTCAGAGAGCAAAGGAGCAGCTCTGCAGAATTACAAAATATCCCCAAGTAGGAAGGGACCCCACAAGGATCACTGAGTTTGACTCCTGGCTCCATGTAGGACCGCCCAAAATTCAAACCAGGTTTCTGAGAGTGTTGGCCAAATGCTGCCTCAACAGGGCATCAACCACTGACACGTGAGAGAAGAGAGAGGCAGGCTGGCTGCAGAGCCAGCTGTGCTAAGAGAGAACTGCAGTGCCTTCGGGAAAGGTGGCTGTAGCATTCAGTGTGAATTAGCTGTAGCTGATCCCAAAGGACAGGTGCCTTCACAATGTTCTATTCTCCTGTAATTATCTCATTGCAAAAATGTAATAATAGCAAGTGACAGAATGTATTAACCGATGGGATGGTGTTTTCTTAAGAGGTACTATAAGGTGATGCACTGGCACAGGCTGCCCAGGGAGGTGGGGAAGTCACCGTCCTGAGGGTGTTCAAGGACAGCGCAGATGTGACAGTGGGTGACACAGACTAGAGTGCTCACAGCCACAGGTTGACGGCTGGACTAGCTATCTTTCCAATCTTAATTCTATAAGGCCTTTTGTCACAGTTCCTGACTTCCCCACTCGCTCTAACTCCACCTCACTGAAGTTGCAAAAGAAGCCAAGAGTTGCGAGACCTTTGAACACCATCAGCAAAACGGAGGTGGTTTCCATAGTCCAGCACATGTATTGTCTGAATATAAATAGCTGAGACCTCCCAGAACGTTCCCTCGTTTCCTTATCTTCCTCTGCAAATCACACCAGTTGTCTTGGCTGCCAGCAGCTCCTTGTCCAAGAGCTATCTGCCCTGCTCACCTCCTCTCCCCTCAGGTCTGACACACTGGAAAGCCCTTATCGCCACCCGTGTGTTTATTCTGTTCAAACTGCAAACTAAAAAAAAAGACAAGCTAACCATTCTTTGCAAAGTCTGCTTGATCTTAAGGTAAAGTTGTCACTTTTTCCATAGCAACAATGGCCTCTCCTTTGTTTTTCCATTCCGCTAATCTAATCCAAAGATCTGTGTTTGGATTCCAGCTCCCCCTGAACTGTGCATAATCCAAAAAAATCAGTATTGTGCAACAGCAGTCGAATGGGGAAAATAACAGCTCTCTTTTTTTCTCCAAAACCACAAAGCTGTCACTAGATACAAGGAAAGAGATAGGGCGGTCTCTGGGCAACCTGTCCCAGGGCTTCACCATCTTGGTGCTGAGCCCGTGGCAGATCTGGCAGAGCTTGCATCTGTGACCTACAGCAAAAACAATCTCTTCAGGATGTGCTGGGGTTGTGCATAGCACTGCTGGATGCCGTACAGCACGAGCACTGAGGTAGGGTTGGGGTGTTCTCCATGGGGTCTTGTGCAGCACAAGTTTCCTATGAAAATAGCCCCAAAGAAATCAAGGTAGGTGGTGCATGAAGGCACAGACGATGCGGCACTGCATGAGCCAGCACATGGGACACAAAAGGATGTGACGAAGGACAGGTTGAGCCCACTGTCTGCTGAATGCCTCCCAAGTGATCCAAACCTGCTTGCATTTGGTTTCCCAGTCATTTCACTTTTAAAACTTAACTTGTGAGACTCTCTTCTTCCCTCTAGTGTCCATTTCAAGATATTAATTCCTCCTGCTCACCAAATTCAGCAAAAGCTGTGGGTTGCCTCAGCACAGGGGCATCCACAATTTTCCTCAGACAGGAGAACTGACACTCCACTTTTTTCCTTACAGATTGAAAACAGATGAACATCAGAAACTGAAGACCAAACTATACCACTTCTCAGACAGACCAAACAGTTTGTTCAAGGGCCCCATTGAAAACCACTGTGGAGCAGAAAACTGTTCCTATTGCCTCTAGGGTGTGACTGAGGCTGTCACCACGAGGTTATCGTCCTTTTGGTGGCACCACGATGTCACTTCCCAACTAGTTGCCAGTCCCACTGGCAACTCCCTCTTCTGGGACAGAGAAGTGCCATATCCACACCCTGAGCTCCAGGAAGTTCTTCTGGCCTCCAGCCCTGCTGAGAAAAGCTGAGTGCAAAGCCTCTGGTGGCACAGAAGGCCACCAGCCTTCCAAAATGCCCTCCTATTGCAGCAGCCATCCCTCCAGGGATGTCCAGTTCTCCAAATACTGCTGGGAACAGCAAGCACTAAAAGGAGACTCTCTTCCAGGCTGGCAAGGAGATGTACAAGATGGCATATTCCCTGCTCCTGTCTCCATGCCATGTGGGCTAATCTCAGAATCATGGCACAGACACAGAAGTGACACGAGGCTGGAGATCACCTGTTCCAACCCCCTGATGGGGAAAAATTGCTCGGCTTCCCAGGAGCACCTGCAGTGTGCGTGGCACTGAGGGGCACCAGGGCACTGTGGAGCTGTCTTGATGGCTTCCCCCATCTGCCAAGCTCATTTGCCATCAGACAGCTCAGTAATTACAGGCAACAGCCTCTGCAGCCTTGTACAGCAGCTGAGCAGCCTCTTCTCATCTTGTCTCCAATTAATCACGTATGACAACTTGTGCATGGCAGCATCATCCTCTCAAAGTCCCGAGCCTGGGTACCACTTACAACTCAGAAAAAGAACGATTATTCCGTGCATTAACCAAACATCAGTCACTGCCAGGGAACAGACCAGGCTGCACTGTGAGCCACCTCAAATCCCATTACACAGCAGAGATACTGGCACTACCCAAGCATGAGGCACTCAAGCCATCACCCCAGAAGCAGCCATGCCTTACCATTGGTGCACTGTGCGCAGCACCGAGACCAGACACTCGGGCTCTGAACACAGTGCCTGTCCAAGAAACTACCCTAGAAATTATCCAGGGCTGACCTGTAGTCTGTGTTTAAATGAGATGTGTATGTAAGACTTTCTTCCCTAAATGTCTCCTGGGCTTCTTCCTCCTTGGCAGCCAAAGACAGTATCTCCTCTTCATCTGGCAATAGAGATGAACATGTTCCAAGCGCAAAGCAGCACATTTCTACAGAGCCTTCAAATACAAGTAAGCACAGCAGCTACGAGCAATGTGTAAGAGCTGTGCTACGTATAAAGTTGTGGTGAGGACACTGGACAGACTGACATCCCTGTGACATCCCTGGAAGCAGTGACAGACAGCAGTGTGGCAGCCTAGCAGCCGGTGGAAACATCCCTACCCGTGGCAGGGGTTGGAACTGGATGGGTTGCAAGGTCCCTTCCAACCCAAGCCACTCTACGATCAATAGGTAGAGCAGACACCTTGTCCTGATCTATGATTTAGCAATGTAAGGATAAATCCCTTTTTTCTGATGACACCTCCAAGCCCTCCCCCCACTGCAGCGATGCTCCTTGCCCCAAACATGCACAGAGCCAAGTAGTGCTCATTGAGAGAAGAACTCCCAGGGCTTCTGAGAGCAGTTTCCGAATCTGTACCCAGAGTTCTGCACCCACACAACACGTGCAGCCCAGTCCAGCTGCCCCGTTTTCTAAGCACAAAAACCCAATTATGCTTTTTTTTGTCTGCCCTCTTGAAACCAAAGACGCAAACTGAGAAGGAGGCTCAGAATACCCAAAGAGCGTGCTCCTACCCATCACCCACTGTTACAGCCCTGCACAAGAAGAGCCTGATTGTTGCCCTGCTGCAGACTATTTCTGAAAACTGTGCTGCCACTTTGGGTCAGGTTCTTTTTGGCCATGGTCACAGCCAGTGACACTGGCAAAGAGTCAATCCGAGGAGCCAGTTTAATGACACAAGCATTGGTGTTGGGCAACATCTGCCTCATCCACAGCATTTCATGGATCACATACCAAGTGGTTTTTGATGCTTTTTGATGGATGATTTTCTCTAGTGCCCACCAAAACTAGGCAAACTAGCTACCAGCTGCAGGATATTTTCTAAGTGAAAGCAGTGCACCATAACAAGCTGAAGATTTTGGGCTTTCCCTGCCATTCCGTTCCTTTACTTTTAGCTGACTGGTAGGGAGAAGACATAAAACAATTAATTAACTCATCACATAATTACTGTTTCATCAAGTGATTTTAAAATATATATCTAACACGGTAACTGAAACTGTAAAAAATATGATGATGCTGTTTAAGACTGCAACATCAATAAAGTCATAAGGCACAACCACTGGGATCAGCACCACAGCCTGCAGTCACTAAAACCAGCTCTTTTGAATCTCAACCAACTATAAAGCAAATGCCCCATTATAAAACAAGAGATCATTTTCTTACTTCCCCTGCCTCATCTTTGCCTCTGCATTATTTAAAATGACTCAGTCATATGATACGCAAACATGCTCAGGTCAATGCTGCCTTGAACCCTTGGCTTTGTCCCCGAATGCTGAGTTCTGCAAAAGCCACACACAGCAGGGATGCTTGTAGGCCAGGCTGCTGAGCATGGGGTGGAATGCTGCATGTCTCCTACTTCCTCCAGCCCACCCTGGAACTGGCAGGCACTGAGCCCTGCTGGTTTACTGCCACTGCCTCACCCACAGAGTGGGGCACGAGGCAGGAGAGAGGAAATACATTAAGAGTTGTTCTGCTTTAGTGCATGAAGGCTGTGCAAAAAATAACCACGCTGGCTGTCATAAGAGGTTGATTAGCTCTTCTGTTGATCAGCAGGTGCTCTTTAAAGAAAGTACTTCTGGACCAGCTGTAGCCTTAATTGAGGCAAATCATGGCATTTGTTTGAACTGCTCTACTTGCACAGTTCTGCTTTTATCTTGCAGAGGCGGCTGAAAGATGGCACTGATCCTCCAAGTGTCAGGACTGCACCCAGTGTGTGGAGATGACACGGCGTCAGTGGGTCTGATACACACGGGCTATGAACGGGGGACTCCTGCTTTGAGACGTTGATGAGACAGAGGGACTGGCCGGCAGCTTCTGCAGCACTGCCCCAGCAGTTGGAGGGCAAACAGCATTCAGCAGCCCAACCCTCCCCGAGGGGCTTGGGGGTGAGAGGACAACTGGCTGGGGATGGCTGGTCACTCTGCAGGGACTCCTGTCCAGGTTGGGGCTGAGGAAAAGAGAAAAACACCACAGTGGCATTACACTCTGGATCTGGACACCTGCAGTCAAAGAAGCAATTCAATGTCAACTTCACAGCAAGAAGATCTAGAAACAGCCATGTTTTGGTGCACGTGACACTTATCTGATGCCTACATTATTTTTCTAAGTGTTTTCTAACATAGGTTGATAAAAATCTCAAGGTAAAAAAGCCACAGTGGAATGTCAAGAACTCACACTTTACTCAAGGAGTCTCAAAGTACCACTAAAACCCTCTGCAACAGAGGATCTATGTGTCCAGAGAAATGAAGCCATGAAGGGTCTGGAGCACAGGCCTTATGGAAGAGGAGGCTCAGGGGAGGCCTTATCACTCTCTACACTGATCTGAAATGAGACTGTTGTGAGGTGGGGGTCAGCCTCTTCTCCTCAGTAACTGCCAGAGGATGAGAAGGAATGGTCTCAAGTTGCACCAGGGGAGATTCAAGTTGGATATCAGGAAAAATGTCTTAGAAAGAACGGTGAGGCATTAAAAGAGGAAGGAGGTGGAGTCATCATCCCCCTCTCCGGAGGTATAGAAGGAAAGTGTAGTGCCAGCCGTGCACATACCTGATGCCTGCTGATCCAACAGCTGTGGGTCCTGAGATAGGCCTCTGCCTGGCAATGCTGCCATCAGGCTGGCAATGCCCTTGGGGGCTGAAGGGCAGAGACTCCTGTGCTGCCGGTGCGCTGTGCAAGCTCAGCAGAGCAAGGCCCTTGCCCAGCAGCTGAGCTGAAGTCTCTTGAGTTGCCCTTGCCTGGCATTGCTGGGGCTGCCTGCCCTCCTCTGGGCTGGTTAGCTTCAGGCACCTTGCCCTCTGCTTCCTCAGCTCCCGGGGTCTTGCTGCAAAACCCATCAGAGTTGCTTGTGAAGGACTTTTTGGAGGATACGGAATTAGACAGTGGTTTTGGCTTTCCTGAGCATGTAATGAATCTGAAACATGGGCAGAAGCACAGCAATTTACTGCTTCATCGTACTAAACGTGCTAAATGACTGACCATCTTGTCCAACAGTCAACCCATCACCACTACGCCCACTACCAGAAGCTCCCCAACCTCCTGTCCCAAGGCAGGACCAAGCACACCTGTGCCATTCCTGGCCAGTGCTCACCCTGACCTGTTTTAAGCACCCGAGTTCCCCATCCATCTCTCTGAAGTTCAATGCACAAAGATCACAGATGAGTTTTTCTTAGCCCATGTAATCCTCAGGTGCAGCACACACAAGAAAATGCATATTGGTGACTTACAGATATAACAAGCATATGTACATGCTTCAAAACCATCCTATATATAGCAGGGATCCAGTTGCTTGTCTATTAAAAGACCCAACTGCACCTAACTGCCTGATGTGCAGAATCCGTGGCAGGAACACTATCTAAAGAACGTGCCACCCAAACCTAGGCACAGAAAATTTGTGTTTATATCTCCTAATGCATTTTACTGTGCAGATAACCATATAAATTTTCCTACCACAGCATTTGCTTTAAAAATGACTAAATCTGACGTTTGTTTTTTTTTTGTTTTAAAGATACGCTGAAAGAATGGCATGCCTGACTCCAGAGTCTGAAATATCACTGAAAGACTCCAAAGCATGCAGATTATATAGACCTGATGCTTCATGCACTTTTAAATAGGAGCAGTTTAGTTCCAGTCACTTGTCCTTTCCTGGTCAGGATTATTTCCAGCAACGAGCTCTGATGTGTCCAGAAAATCACATCAAGTAGGACAAACTTCTACAGTTAAGTGGCTCTCCAAATCTTCAAACAAAGTCTCAACTCACAGAAGTCAAGTTCATTTTTAAGTACTTTGTTGAATAAAGTCAGTCAGTTGTTAAACTTCTATCAGGTATTTGCTCTGCAAAACACGTATGTCTGTTAGGGACAGTGACCAAAGGCTCTTGTTTTGTTTGTTCCATATGAACCTTGGTCATGAGGGCCAGTTGTGTATGATCTGGGTCATCCATTCCACCCCTAGGTGACACCAGATTTCAAACCATTCAGTCAACCTTGTTGACTTGTCAACCTCATTGACAGATCTCAACAACTACACTTATGCCCATCCACTTCTGTGAGGTACGGCATCGGCACGCTGAGATGTTTGGAGATCACAGCAAATCATTCTCAATCTAAAGAAATCATATTAAATCTAAAAATCATTTTACATCTAAATAGATCACTAGATCATGGTCTAAGTTTTTTTGTGGTCACCGGACAATAGGCCATTTCTTTACATTTTTCCTATCTGTTTCTATCCTTGTTAAGGAGATACCATTTACTTTACATTTTATACAGACGAGACTTTGAATTGCTCAATTATTTTTTCTAATTAGGATGCTTACATTTTTTGTTACAAATATATTTAGAAAAAAAATATTACATATTTTTCCAAATTTTAATAGCTTCATTTAGTCCTTGAAATAAATGTAAAACCACATCTCACACACTAATACCTACTGAAGCAAAAAATGTGACTATTAACAGTGGAAACAGATTTAAGTCATACTTTTTTAATCTCCTCTACTTGGAATAACCATTATTAATGTTTCTAATAACCTTAAATACGATATTCAACAACTCTGCTCTCATTCATGTAAGTGCAATTCCAGAGAGGTCTTTGGCTTTCTTCCTGAGCAAAAGAGCACATTTCATTTTTAAACACTCTACTGAATGTCTTCCCAGAATTCCCAGCAGCCCACTTGCACCTTAATCATCAGCTCAGACATTACCTGCATCAGTGCCAACTGGGGTAAAACAGCTCGGTCGGAACAACAGTATTTAACACTCACCTGACACCACCACAAATCAGTGACACAAGATGAAAGACAAAGGCACATCCTTCATCTAGCCAGAACGCTCAGATGGTGTAAGAAGAGCTTTATTTCCCTTAATTCTACAGATCTTTGTTGAAATACACCAACTGATGGCCAACACAATTGGTCACTATGTCCTGAGCAGACACTAGGTGCCAGACCTCATGAAACAACGCAGTTCCTATAAAATGTATCAGTCAACAGTCAGCAGCACTCGCCCCTACAGAAGGGTGTCAACCCTTCTCTAGAGGTTTAGGTCCAATACCTGAGGAGGACTGGGAGAGATAGGAGTGGCAAGAAGAATCAGGTGAAATCCCTTCAGTGAGATCCTCACCTGAGGTGTCCCTCAGCTCACTCTCAGCACCACTGGCTGGGCTGCAGCCTTCATCCTCTTCCTTATCATCTATAGCTAGCTTTGCTGCTGGGATGACACTTTCTTGCTGAGCTGTGTGCAGGCACCTGGACAATGGGAAGTGTATCACCATTGAGGATAGTCTTGAGTTGAGAACATGCAGTAAGCGAAGTGCAGGCAAACAATGAGTCTGCAGATTTAGCCACTTACAGTGCTTTGCCACTTACCTGCTGATATGCAGAATCATCCTAAATGGATCAGACGTAATGTCTGATCATCTGAAAGCATTCCTTTCCCTATCCCACTGCCTTCCCAGCAGGGATGAGCCACCCCAATCTGCAGGGCGAGAAGGCAGAAGGCTGTCCCACAGAACAGCCACCAGGTGGCCAAAGAGTTTGTTTTATTTTACAGCAGAAAACGAATCCCTGCTCTATTGCATAACAAGAATTCTCCCACACTCTCACCGCCGCTGATGCTGCTCTCTCCACACTCTTGGTGCAGAGAAGACGTCTTCCTGGCTCACATCTCCTCCTCCTACAGGGATGTCAGGGTTTTCTATCTTCAGACTGCGCAGTTTCAAGGAGCTCGCTGCAGGTGGCTGAAAAATGACACAAGTAGCCTTGATGACCTCAGGAACTTCTGCCACACTGGACCTCAAGGATCACAGAGGGATCGTAAACCAGACTGCACACCCTACGGGTGTTCTCTCACTCAGTTACTGGCCCTGTGACATGAACAAGCTAACCTGTACGGCCACAGTACTGCTCCACCATTGAGAACAACACACTTTGTATTTACTTAATCAACAGCAATCACCTCATAGACCTGACCACGCCAACATCAAACCACTGAAAAATCTTCTGATAAATAGTTATTGTAGAAATGCCACCAAATACTGTCATTTTGAGTTGGGCTTTGATTAGTAGGTTGACAAGAACATGGGGCTTGGGGTCCATAGAAAAGAGTGAGCCACTCAAACCACAGTGGAAACTCAGTTTATCATAAGATTTATGTGGGCGACCAGGCAGGAACATGAAGTATACAGGAAAAACATACACCTAGCTTTAGCCTCCTCGCACGAAGGGCCTTGATGGGGTTACCACATATAACTTGGCTGAGTCCTAAGAGAAAAGAAAAAAATAAATAAATCATTCCAGCATTTGGCGAACTGTGCTGTCTTTGAAATCAGTCAGCATCATTTCCTGCATACAAAGGGATGTAATATTTTATGGTGTAGGTTCACTGTGTAGCTCACATGGCTGACACTGATGCTAAGAGGCAGTTTCTCTGTTCCTCCCAGAATCTCTTTCTTCCTTCTCCTGCCCTGCCTCCCCCACTGTGCTGGTACACACATTTGTGGGGCTAGGCTAGGTAGTAAGAGCAGGGAACAGATCCAGATTAAAACAGAATATGGATTTTTTTTTTTTTTTTTTTTTTGTCATTTTTCAGCTGATCTTGAGCAGAATTTGGTTCTGTATATGCCTGTGCAGATGCTCTTGTCAAAACAAGAGACAAGGCAGCAAAGGAGAAGAAAGAAGCAGTGAGCATTTGGTAAAATGGTCACTATCAGTAGATCTAGTACCTAAAAAGTGAAATTATAGTCTCATTCTCTGGCAAGCTGTACTCAGCTTCCATGCACTTTTCTGAATGTACACCCAGCTGTTAATGCCACACTGCTTCATCCCAATCATCTTCCTAACTCCTACCTGCAGTCAGGAACTGAGGTGGGATTGGTGCCTGGGAGAGGCAACCACTGCTTCTCCTTATCTAGTCAGCCCCTTCAGAGATACTGGAATTTCAGAATCTAAGTCTCCCCAGGGAAATGAGGTAAGGATGCTTTGGGAAGTCCTACATTTCCTATGAACAGTGAATTCTCTTTCTAATCAGCTGTCCCCAGGAGTCCAGTCAGCAGGTTTCAAAGACATTTTTGTTCTCCAGTTTGATTTCCCTGACCTATGTTATGTCCATGCTGTCACCTGCCCCCAGAAGAACAAGGATGCAGCTGAGGAAGCATGGATGTCATTCATTCTGCATGAGCCTGGGAAGCACAGGGCCCTCCATCCTCATCTCTATTTGTGCTAACATGGTGGTGCTCCCATGTGCCAGAGGCAGGCTATCAGGGAACAGCAAGGCACTCGCACAACTGAGGTTTGAGCTAGCCTGCAGATCAGGTATGTGAAACCAAGGAACTGAATCTTTTTATTGATCCAACCCCGGAAACCCAAAAGGACGGAGTCGCTGATCACAGAATGACTTAGGTTGGAATGGACTCTAAAGATCACTGAGCTCCAACCTCAACGCCATGGGCAGAGCTGCCACCCATCAAAACAGGCCGCTCAGGGCCCCATCCAACCTGGCCTTGAATGCCTCCAGGGATGAGGCACCTGCAGCTTCTCTGGGCAAGTAGAAATGATATATCAAGTGGTTTTTGATGGTAGTTATCCTGCTGCAGTATAAGTCTGCAGAACACATACTGCACCTTCCAGAGCATAATCCACTGGGGAGCAATGTGCATCAGCATGCCTGTCTAGAGAACTTGTCTGTATGGATCGCATTACAAAGATTGAATAAGATGAGTCCAGGTTTCTTCATGTTAGCTGAGCCTGATGTAGCCGTGGCATAGTTAGGTGTTATTCAAAGCATCCAGGTTTCTGTCAGCAATAATAATATTCAGAAGCAGGTGGAGGTGAAGGAAGGAACAAGATTAAAAAATTACATTACCATGTGTCAAATCACTGGAGTCATCTGGAAACAGGTCTTCAGAAATAGTGGGATCTGGAAGAGGAGAGCTGCTGTACAACAGACAGGAACTGCTACACCTTCCTGCACTAGCAGACCACTGTGCAGTTCCAGGTCTGGAAGTTGTAGGAGGTCTTGGGCTGCATCCAGGCTGCCTTGCCATTGCACATGGACCTAAGAGAGAAGTTTTACCAGCATAAGCACAGTGGCTGTAAACCACACCACCACAATGCTGGTAGTGACAGCCACTCTACCAGTTATCAACTAGGGCAAACCACACACACAAGTTATGGAAAGCTGGGAATTGCAGTTATATTTTTCCAGACAGCCACTTCTGACACCAGAAAGAAAAGTGATAATTGAATTTCATAGTGGTATAGGATAGGATGGATTATACAAAAGCTAGTGGAGGCAGACAGAGCCTTGAACTCCTACCTGCTCAAATGCCTGCTGTCCAGGGAGCAGAGCAAGGCTGTGCCAGTAGCATGTGCAGCTACCAATTTGTAGGAGGGCAAATTTCATTTCAATGCCTAGATGAATAGCTTGCACTTTAAAGTATTGAGCATCTAGCAGCTCTATAATGGAGCTCTACAATTGGCACTGTAATACTATGGTCATTTCATTAAGAGCTGAGTGTTAGAGACCTTCAAGTTATCTTGGTTGTAGTTGTTCCTAAAGAACCGTGAAACACACAGCAGATGCAGAGTATGTATTTCAGTAGGAAAGAACAAAACATGGGGATGCCTAAACCTGACCATATGAACTTACCAGTTTATAGCCAAAGGCAAAAACATAACTCTAGCTACACTAGACAACAAAACAAACTAGTTTTGTGCTCATTCCACACAGTTTCCCTCAGTCCACGCTGTTACTAGTCTTCTGAACCACAGTTGATCCTGCCAAATGGGGATCACTGAGGGATCAGATTCTAATGGATTTTTTCACTACCATAGCTACTACTGCATCTAATGATCTGGATCCGCAGGGATTAAATAAATGACAAACGTATGTATTTATTCCAAAACAAACTAAATTTTTAATGGAGTACAGTTGGCAGGCAAATTGCAGCGGTGGGGGTCAGGAAGCCAACGACATTGCCAGCGTTAATGGGAAGCAACAGGAGCAGTTATAGGAAATAGTTTGTAATGTTTAATGGGATGTGGCAAAGTGCATGTAGCACGATATGTAAGAGTACAGACATTTGAACTATAACCAAGGCTACGAGCAAGGGGACAAAAGATTTATTTTCCACCCATTTACTCTATCCTAATGAATGTAATGGGCTTAATCATGGAGAAAAAGAACGTGGAATGGAGGTATTTCACGATGGTGCAGCTCAGTTGCTAGGAACCCGCTGCCACTAGGAAGTGGTAACCAAACTGCCTTTGGTATCATTACACCAGAGTAGAAAATCCTGCTACTTCCATGCAACATGGGATTGATTCCTACCATAGAAAGAAAATGCTGAGAGCAGCTGTTGAAACAGTTTCCAAACTTTGCTTCTTCTAATCACACACAAAGAATACTGAGCACAGGCTCCCAGCTACTGCTGGATTTACTCGATGCTTTACAAGTCGTTTGCATTTCTCTGATCTTGGTGGCCAGCACTGAACAGCTTTCATTTAAATTTGCAGCATGCTGAATTCCAGCTTCCCCATTTCCCACGTGAAGACGACCAAGTCCTTTGTCACTTCTCTGCAATTAAGCTTTGGCTCTGAAGAAGCCAGCTAGCTCTTTGGCTTTCCTTTTCACACTTCATAACCTGAAAAACGAACCCTGATGGGAAATCTGACGTACCTAACCATGAAATGTCTCTGGGCAAACCACCCTCCTCGATAGATTCCTTGATGATTAGCCAGTCCTCATTCATCTTACTGGAAGGAGAGACAGCAGTCTGGCTTGCTGGCATTCCATCCAAATACTCCAGGTGGGGAATGAGTTTTTTCACTTCAACTCTGTAATTGTAATCTAGTTCCTGGAGAAATTGAGAAAGTGATCATTTGAACAGTTTGCTTAACAGACTGTGGACTTTCATCAGCAATAAAACAGTGTTCAATTTCTATTACTGCCATACACTTTGAAATGCCTCTATGAAGTAAGCCCATTTGCTTTATCCAACAGAAGTAAACAACATACGAAGTTACCTTTCACTGTGTTTTCTACTCATATAATTTCTACTGAAATTCTGAATGCAAACAAATTACCCCCCACCCATGGCCCCTCTGCTGTTCATCTGCTGATGACTTAGAATTTTATCTTCATTATACTACATATGCTGTACAGAAGTGAAGGCATCCACCTGACGTCCACAGAAAGCCTGGGCATCCTCAGCATTTGCCCAACCTCTCCCCCTGGTTTTGTGATTCTCTGGTTGCCACATCAACAGTAAGGTGATAGCAAGACTGAAAATACATTACAAGTGCAGCTATGCTTGGTGATGGATGAAGGCACAGCTATAAACAAGCTGCAGTGAACGAGCTGCATTGATTTTCTGGGGCAGTCTTCAGGGTATTCGCGTGCAATTTTACACATCGTTAGAAGAGATGACTTATTTCAAACTATGCTATCTTCTGCAGGAGGTTGCATGCCAACAGCAGGTGCACAAGAGACTGAAATTGACTGCTTTGGGATTTCATTTCCATGCGCTGGAACAACAACACTATCACTTCTGACATACATGGTCTCACTGACAAGCAGTGGGGAAAGCATTGATGCAGCCCCCTTCTGTACATGCGGGTGGAGCTGACCATGAATAAAATCATTTGTGAACCCATCCCAAGGTCTGGGACCTCTAGGCAACAAAACAATCCAGAGCAGTTACGACTGTACACCGTGAATTGGTCCAGTTTTGTGGATGCCAGCAGTAGAAAGACATTTCCATGTAGCACTTTCACCTCTGGGAAAGTTTAGCAATATCTCAGGGCAGCGGGGCATTCAGCTTTGCAATCATAGAATGGCTACGGTTGGAAAGGACCTCAAGGATTATCAAGCTTCAACCTCCCTGCTGCACGGAGGGCCACCAACTTCCATATCTAACACTAGACCAGGCTGCCCAGGAATGTAATGGAAATACTGCAGTGGGAAATAGTCTTGGATAATAAATGGCTGTAAAAGGTGGTGGTGATCTCATATGCTTCAATAAGTATAAAACAAGAGCACGTTGCTAGTGGCAGAAAATGCATAGGTGGTTTCCCCGAGACATATCAGCCACCTATAAATGAATTGCTTGATGCAGATTGATGCCGTGCTTTCCAGGATATCACAAGCAGTGTTAGAAAACCTCGCAGAGCTGTCATGAACAGAAACCTTTTGGAGATAGCTGGATGGCTGTACACTCCCTCCCTCCACACAGCACAGCAGCAAGGCTGGCAGAGGGAGCTCACCAAATAAAGCGTGTAATTGTTGTTAAGGGGCAGACACCACACTCCTCCAACTGAGCCTTTCATCTTAATTTAGAAAGTGAGTCAACCAATCACCACGCTACCACGTACCGCATGTGCTCTGAGCAGAGCCTGGGCTGCAGCCAATCTGCAGCCATGTCCTGCTTAAGCAGAGCATCATGTTACGCTCATGGTACATTACTGCAAGAGAGGCTGCAACATTTATCATTGGGTTGTTGCTGTTGGTTTAGATAACAGAGGAAGATGAGCTCATCTGAAAATCAAATTACAGAGAGCGAGCAGGCAGTATGAACAAAGAGCAGTAAACCTAGCTGGGCCATTCCATACGTTGGAAACAAGTAAATGGGAGAGCTTGTACAGAGCTACAGCAAAGCCACACAACAAGAAGATTGAGCAATCAGAACCCATGTCTCACTCTTTTCTGTATTTCAGGTGATTGTCCATCAGAAGCAGGCAGTGCTTCCTTACTGTCAGAATATTTGGGTTTTTCTCTCACAATTACATCTTCGACAAGAGAGGAATGTTGATAGAGAAATCACTGTGAATATAAACAGCTGCAAGAGTGGTCTCTGAAGTACACTCCTAACAGCTCAAAACAGAAAATGAGTGTGTAATACTGTGTTTTGGATTCCAGAGAGGAAAATCATGATAACTAAAGCACTACCTTTTGCTGCTGCTTTTATCGAGGGATACAACCAAACCAATAATTTCATCTCAGAAACTCTTGCATCTTAAAAATGTGGAGATGCAAAATATCCACTATATTATTGAGTTTCACTGATAACACCTCAGTTTTCTGGACTAAGTCTAGGACAAGTATCAAATCCATCCTTTCATTAAGGAATTAGTGGTATGGGTATGACCCCTTTGAAACACACAGGGAAGCTATGGAACATGGCACAGTGGATACGCAGCCCCCGCTCCTGCTTTCTTACATTATTGACTCCTTATGGCACCACTGTGGGATGTGCCATCCTTAGTGAATACTGTAGATTATGTACCTACATATATGTGGATGAAAGTACATAGCATGGCAGCTGCAAGCTGTCCTTTGGTATGTACTAGACCTCATGTGACCAAAATGAAGAACAGTCTTTTCTGAATAATTTCTTAAACTCCACTTTTCTTCCAGTTACCTCCTGAACAGATGCCAATATGCTTTTTGTTATACCTCAGGAATGCTAATATTTTCAAGTTAGGTAAAATGAAAGAGAGCAGTACAGCTTTAAAATCATAAAATAAAATAACATTAACATAAACATAAGATTAGATCTTCCTTACTTTTCTAGCGGACCACCCTGAAACCCAAGGCAGATCATGTATTGCTTTATCATCATCTCTATGACACAAAGAATCTCCTGCACTTACCAGAATACCTTTTTAAGAACTGATTTTATCATTTCAGTATTTAAGAGATGTACCTCCAGCTTTTACAAAGGTCTTTTTGGTCATTGCATTTTAACCCTTTCAGGGAGAGGACAACAAGCAATTCCTACAATACAGCTTTTGCTAGTTACTTCAAGCATCTACTCTAAGTTTTGAGAATGGTGATTCTGAAGAAACTGATGTTCCAGGTGATCCTTCAAAAGAATACAAAAGCCTAAAGAATGCTATCTAACTGAGAAATTTCAGTTGGCACACCTCATAAGAGGAACATTAGCTACTTTCTAACTGGCTGTAAAAAACCCTGACAAGCTGTAAGGACCCATGCAACTGAGGTCCATGCTCTCATTGGTCCCCCTTTAAGATTTCATATCACATGGTTGAGTCCTAAGATGATTTTTAGTTTAATCCCATTCTCACAGGTAGGAAGTCTCACACTGACAGGGAATAGGCCTGACTCCTGACCAGAACTCCTTGTATGTCATTTGTGCTTACGTGAGAGACATCCACAAGAGGACAAGATCTACACAAACAAAACATGGGAAATGTGTCCCACCTCACCACTCAGATTAATACAATTGAAAGACATATTTCTCATTTGCAACACACATTTTAAAAACACTACAAAAAATAACATAATCTGTACAAACCATGCTCTCACCTCTGCAGATTCTGCATTTGGCTTTAAACAAATAAGGTTGCCCTGAACTGTCAGGCTGCTCAGTTTGCAGCAAAGCCCCAGGTATTGCATCTGGTTGATGTCCTCAATATTGTTTCCTTCCAGGTCCAAAACCTCAAGGTGATCCAAAAAGCTCAGTGGGCACAGGTCTGAGATTTTGTTGTAGGCTATGTAGAGTTCCTCAGCAGAAGGAAACAGAAGTATTAACAGGTTCACATTAGTAACACTCAGTATTTGCAAAATGAAGACTACAATTAAAGAGAAAATATCAAGCGAAGACAGATAACAAATCCTTGTTTGGCAGGACACATTGATACTTACTTTTAGAGAGCTGAAGGCAGAGATTCCATCTAAATCTAAGAGCCCACAGCAAACCATCCACAGCATGTGGAGATGGGACAACGTGGTTCCGAGATCCCTTAAGAAAGAAATAATGGAAGCTCCATTGGAATGGGCAAAGGAACTCAGGACTCGCTTTCTTTTCCCTAGAATTAGGTCATTGCTACCTTCTTCAAAACACATTTTTTACAAGAATTGTCATTAAAAATGTCACCTTCAAAGATGGAAATGCAATTATAATGCAAGCTTTTCCTCCACAGAGATCCTTGCTCGTGTGCCAACATGCCTCTCCAGTTCTGCTTGAAAAAGATTCTTCCAAGAGCTGTGTCATGGTAGTTCTCTCATAAATTGCACCTACGTGCTAAGAACTGAGTGAGGATTATTTATGCTGGCACCATTTACTCTACACATATAAACCCAAACTAACATATTTAGACTGACTCACAGTCATCTTACTCTGTAATTCCACTGAGTTACCTCTTTTGTGTTTTTGCAATTGAAAGGAATGGCACTCTCACCAGATAACATTTTTTTCCAATCCGCAGAAAATTAGAATTTGTTCCATCCACTTTGCAGCTCCAGCAAAATGTAGAAAATGAACGATTTGTATGAACTCCAAACTTTCCAGTCCTAATCCAGAGAATCATACACCGACCTGTTTACCTCCATGTATGTGGGATGTCCATACTGTATCACAATAGTACCATTGGAGAAAAAGGCATCACAAAATGCAAAAGAAGTGACAAATCAACATGGGGAACTGGGAGCACCTTCTGTCTTTGGTAACACTAAGTTGCATGAAGCCATTACTAAATTAAAAAAATAATAATAAAATGCATTGCCTTATTAAACCCCAAGCCAACCCAAAGGAGCCCAGAATTCTTTCCCATAGCTGTGACACCAGACTACCTGTATTATAAAGAACAAATTAATTGAAGTGAGCAACTAAACATAGAGGCTAAGATAAACTTATCAGAGGAGGAAGAGGGTCAACTGGAGTTCCTACAAGAGAGGCTCTTGGACTTCAAAACTGTGGATTAGTGAACTTTTATAATATATACATTAACACATTTTCTAGGGAAAAATTGCAGAAGATAAAAGAATATGGTCACACGATCTCTTCTCATCTTGCAGCACATGTAATAGCTTGCTTATTTGTGCCTTATCTCTGTGGGCGATGGGGAAAAAGAACAGCTTTGTGCTGCTCTCAGAGAACTTCGTGCAGCTTTGATGCAGATTTGCAGCAAAAGAGATCACAGCAAATTGCATGCTCCAGGGCTGCTGCACACCAGTCAGTCCACTGGCTCAGGAGTGCTTTCACAAGTGGGACTGAGGTATCATTATCTGCTTTTTTTGTTATTTTTCCACTGCATGAATTCTTGGGACAAGCCACGGCAAGAGAAAACGGTCAAAGCAAAGCAAGTCAGAAAAATCGCTGTCAAATGACATATCTCTCTGTCAAAGGCTGTTCCTTGTATGTCATCGCATCTCCGGACCTTGTAAAAGAGCTTTCAGAGACTATCTGCACTGTGCTTATTTCATAAATAGAGCAAACAGTCATCCCAAGGCTTCCTTAAGGAACAGATGTCTTCCCAAGCAATAGTTACAGAAATTTATCATTAGATTTGTAAGCTGCGTGCCCATAATAAGAAAGAAATTAAATTAAATGTAAAAGCAGAACCTACCATCAGCCAGGGCCAATACACCAGTAGGCTCAAATACAGCAGGCACGAGTAATGCAAAGGAAATATATTGCTCACTTCATGGCCCACTTAGAGTGCCGATCAGTTTTTCAATTTTCAGGCTAATTTTGGTGCAGAATCACCTTTTCTGTAAGCCAATGGACACAAGTCAATGAGAGTGGTCATCCCCACTGTCACACTGCTGAAGTAAGTGCTTCTGATGAACACTGCGGATTGGTCTAGAGGAAGTGAGGACAATCCTAATGCAATTCCCTTAGATGTGGTATGGTATAATCCACGATTTCAATTGTCTTGTACTTCTTACCTAACATGGTGTTTTACCACAAAAGGAATTTCTGATAGTACGTTTGTTATTATTGTTTTTCTTTCTGTCAATACACAGGATGGCAAAACAAAGCCATTTGTTCATTCCCAAATGGCTTTACACAAAGCCCTGAGAAGAAACAGCCACCCCTTCTCCTGCTAAAATACATTTGGAAGAAGCAGTCCTTGCTCCTACCCAGAGGTCAAATGGTCCCAGAGTTAAATCATATTTTCCCCCATGTGTGAATTGGACAGTTATGGTTTTCAATTCCAGAGCTGGCTTCGGCTGAATCAAGTGCACATGAACGTGACCAGCTCCTGCCTGCACTGCCTACAGAGTCATGCACAGCTCTGTATTCACTGTGAATTATGAGCTAATGCATCTTCAGGCACTCTCCTGGCTGCTGGAGGGGTGAACTTTTTGGGCAACAGTCAAATATTGGCCCTGCAGCTCTTTATTCCCGCATCCACAGTGAGTGATGTTCACTCTGAGACATTACTGCAGCAAAGTGCACCTGCAAATACTTTATTTGGTAACTAACAAAAGGCTCATCTGGAAGCTGTGTCAATCTCACTGCAATATCAGAAGAACTCCCTCATTAATTACTGCACAGATGATCCCTCCTGAGAGTACGGCTGCTGTAAGGCTGCAGGGTTAAACAGCAGCGTAGCTCGGAGCGAGCAGCTCCCAACGGACAACTGCGTGCACCTGCACTCCTGAAAACACTTCTGAAATATTCTGGCTGGTGGGAGGAGAACTTCAGAGCATGCAAGAGAAGGGAGTGCCTCCTCTGCGCCTAGCCCTGCTGCATCTGGCATGTACAGCTTCCAAGGATCAGGGCAACGTGGGTTTGTAAGCGTGCATCGAATCATAAAGGTTGGAAAAGACCTCTAAAATCGTCTAGTCCAACCATCTAGTCCAACCCCACTGCTCCCACTAGCCACATCCCTCAGTGCCACATCTCCACAGCTCTTCAACACTTCCGGGATGGTCTTCCACCACTCCCCTGGGCAACCTGTGCCACTGCATCACCTCTCTTTCTGAGAAGAAATGTTTCCCAATAGCCAACCTCCTCTAGCACAACTTCAGGCCATTACCTCTCTGTGTGCATGCAAGGGTGCTGTGCAAACAGCTAACGGATAGAAGGAACCAGAGGACACCACAGAGGAAACATAGCTCCATTAATATACACATCAGCTAATTCAGTTCTGGAAGGCAAGTGTCCTATCCTGAGTGATGTGGAAGCTGGCAACTTCACAGGAAGGGCAAGGAATTAATGGGCAAAACAGCTATAAATTTTCCAGTGGTTTGTATGGGTCAGGTATGATGCAGAAAGATGGAGCACAGGGTGAGAACGTATGCATCATCACTTTGGTTGTGACAAACAGGATTATAGCCTCTGAGGTAACAAAAACCAAAGTTCTCTGGACTAATTGCCCCACAAACATAACCGAACATCTGCCTACAGAACATATGCTGAACACCCAAACACATTTTTAGCACCTAAAAGTGCTAGGAAACCAACGTAGGCTTTCCTAGTTTCATTGTAACGCCACAAACTTACATATACTCATATATAACTTTTTTCTCCCCCCATGAAAATGAATAAACAGAAGGGTTTGAAAGCTCCAGACACTGCTGCAAGGAATGGAACTCACTGAACAGCTTTGTGTTCCATGAGGGTCTTGGCAGCACCCTCTCACTTGTGCACAACCATTCAAGATTTTTCCCATGAAATGCAATGCTCCCATCTTGTCGTCACTCCCCAAAGCTTGGGGAAGAGCACAGGGGCAAGGAACAGTTTGGCTCACAACACCTAATAATAGTTTGAGAAATAATAACATGTTCTTCCATTAATCCAGCCTCCTTGTTCTTCAGGGATTGACTCATTTGAGCCAAAATTCTGCTGGATGAAAAACAGACCTCCAGAGCCAAATCCTGTTCTTGGTTTCACTACAATAAATCTTGGGTAGCTCCACTGAGCTCAAGCTACCCAGTAAACACAACAGCACAGCCCTAACAGAGCATAGTCCTGCACATCCATCAGCTTCAAGATCATTGTTTCTTTTGGAAATTGCTTTAGAATCATCCACCTATAAATAAAACACTAAATCCACTGAACTTGCAAACAATACTTGAAAGCACACACACATCTGTGAAATAAATCTGCAGTAGCAATATATCTGAAATTGGGCTTGATGCTGGTATTTATTTTTAAAGGTCACTTAAAGTGAACATGCCGGTGACTGGAGGGAATCTGAATTTAAGAGTGACTGAGCTCATGTCTTACAAAGTAAAGAAAGAAAACCACTGATCTACAGAGACCAAGCTGAACTTACCAAGCCATACAGCGACGACAACGATCCAGTCCATATGTCAGTACACAATGATTCTGCTGTACTGATCATTCTGACATCAGAAGCAAAAACTTTTAAGGCCTGAAAATTATTTAAATCAGTAACACATGTTCCAATAGGAAGCTTACAAATAGTTTCATTGTACTCTCAAACAGCTGTAAAGCGTTCAGAATTATAAAACTGATTGTATGCACGTGTTGCCCTTGATCAAATCCATGACACACCCCAACCCTGCAAGCAATGCTAAGGCAATGTCCTCATGCCCTTGCAGTATCCTTTTGCTATCAAGTCCAACTTTGCATTTGAATGCAAAGAGCTGGCTGCTTCACAGTTCTGCAGCCTTGCTTGGTTACATACCTACTCTTCACAATGCAAGCTGCAAGATGCTGCAGCTGTTGGCTTGGATGCTCTGTCTTGCATCTCACAGCCACTGTACTCAGGTGGCAGTAGGGTGCCTCTGTTGTCTCATTTTTGGGGGTGGCCTGGCATCATCTCAGAGTTTTATTTCAATTTTTTGTTTGTTTACTTGCTTATAGAAAAATAATTTAAGCTCTCAGGTGAGAGACAGGAGATGACAACAGAGGGCAAACCCAGCTGCTGAGCCACATGGGCAGCCCATTGCCGTCATGCTGCTTGGGACACTTCATACATTATTGCCTCTTCTCACTGGCTCATTGAACTCATCATAGCAACTTGAAAGCCCTTCGTTCTCCTT